TCTATAAAATTCTAGCTTAAAAAATATTATTCCAGCCCAATAATACATTCCCACTCTCATCTGTCTGTTTATCTTTCCTACGTTAATCTCTAGATGATCGGCATGACTCTGTCGTTATCAGGAGAAGTATGATGTACAGGGGCGAGACATTACTAAAATCTAGACCATATATGGAAAGCTTAGAGACTGGAGACTCCAATTAACTATATACTACGATATAAATATCCAAGTTATAAGGTTATAAACCCTTTCTTCTACATTATTATATTAGTTAAATACAGTAAAAACCTGTGTAATCGGAACCGCATCATATATTTTAGACAGGTTCTACTGTATTCTATTTTCTAAATTTTATTGTTTATTCTGTAAATTTTGAAAATTAATCTCTGTCTAATATCTTTTATTATCAAAGTCATTTCGTATCCTTTGATATTTAAGGTAAATTACTTTAATCTCTTTATGAGTTTAAGTTTTTGAATTCAAGAGTATAATTAAGTCCTGTATAAGATGTTATTTTCGACATAAAAGGCAACTGTAATCTGATAAATCGAGAATTATTCGGAAATAAAGAAAATTTAAATCAGAATAAATTTCTTCTTTTCTAATAAAAAAAAGGACAATTTTGCTGACATGCATAATTATGTAGACAATAAAAATTACATTAAATCATGTCTTAAACTCTATTTGAAAAACTGTTACATACATAAAATAGTGTGTTTTGTCTGTCTGTTCCTAATACAGTCATAAACAATTATTTATTCCCTACTACATAGTTTAAATGAGATAATGTTAATGCTTAATGACTGATCTGATGATTAGACGTTTAAATAAATATGTTAATTCTATATTAAAACAAACAAATAAAATTCTAAGTATTGTTAAAATAACTTATTTAAGTAAATGAAAATTTAAATCTGTAATCTTGTTTTGCATGTATTAATATATTTATTTATTTATTTAAATTCGTAAAGCGTCGAATACCGATTTCAGAATATTCTCTCGAGAATATTTTAAAATAATAATATCTTTGAATTTCTTATGCTGGAATCTAAATTAGAGCATTATTTCTTCAAATATAAATAATAAATAACTTATATTGTATTTTAGAAGAAGATTTATCTATTTATAATAAATAAATATAATATAAAGTAAAAGCATTCGAGAGTCTCTCTCTCTCTCTCTCTCTCTTTCTCTTTCGTTTTTCAGCAACGTAATTTAAATTATGTTGCTGAAAATTCAGTTCCCGAAAAAGCCAAGCTTTAACTGTCTTATGACATTTAACGGTTCTCTTAACGACGATTATCCAGAAACCAACGAGCAATTGTTTATTATCACATCGTCACAATGCCCTCAATTTTAGTAGTGTCTTGCCCCTGTACATCATACTTTTCCTGTTAACAGTGGAGTCATGCCGGCCATATAGTTAACTCCGTCCAGGAGAAAATTATGAATTAAAATAACTTAAATAGTTAATAGGGTGTCTAGTTAATCCAGATATCGAAAGCATTCTCCTGTCGTAAGCTTTCCCTATCTGGTCTACACTTTCATATATCTAACTCAGTTCTCGAGATTAAGAAAGGGCAGACAACAGATGCAATTGGGAATTTTTAGGTTTACAGTTTTTTTTTTAAAGTTGCATCCCAATTAGGTGATAAAAGCAAGGTCTAGCATACGAGTAATACACACACACGATATCATCTAACGTGTTCTTGGACAACCTTCATTAAACAAACTTCTATTTTGCATAGGTCCAGTGTTATAAATTGAAGTTATATTCCTGAAAATAGTTTTAAATGTATTTTTAAATAAGCCTATAGCCTGAAAATTGTTATATATTAAACTATAAATTTTCAAAATTTTATAGCTGTTATGTGTCTCATTTTACTTTTCTGGCTTTTATATATAACAAAGGAAACGTATGGCGATCGGTCAAAAATGACCACCCTTCCAAGATGTTTACATTTTTGGACTCGATACACCTTGAAACGACGAGAAATGCAGAAAAGTTGGAGTTTTTTCTCTATGTACGAATGTTAGTGTGTGTGTATGTGGGGGGGGGAGAGGCACGATTTTGTTCACCCATTTTGAAACTTCATAATCCCTGTACCTTTTGTCGAAAATTTCTGAAATTTTGCACACACAAAAAAATTTGTTTTTGATATTTAAATATTTTCTAAAATATTCAAAAATTCATCACAGTGAAGATAAATAAAAACTACAATAAGTAACTTCGTGTATTTGGCATTTTTAAAAATTTATTTTTATTAATAATTTCAATAAAATCTCGGCCAATTTTTCTATTTTTATAAACTGTTTTCTTGTTAATTAAACATTGGATACATTTAATTTCGTTAAAAGCAAAGCAAACGATACTTACGCATCGAATACAAAGAAGGTTCCATAACGTCACCCTGTCCTTCATTTTGTTGATTGGGTGCTATTCCATATTCATTATCAGAGTATCTTTGTTCGCTATTATCATCCACATAATCTAAATAATCATATCGTCTAGTTTCGGGTGTATTCTGAGATGGTGTAACCTTGGAAGACTGTTCATTTTCAGTTTCTTTACTTTCACTCTCAGCTGGAAGGAAAGATATTTGCTATTGAATATAATCTTATAATGTTTTATCGCCGCATGATCTTAAATTCTAGTTTCATTAAATAAAGAAATATTTTTGAAAAAGATAAATGCCTTTTCTCGTATAATATTTAAATCAATATTTCCATTATCATACAAACAACACTTCATATTTTATGAATATTACAGAATTATGGAAGTAGCTTTTATTAGATAATCTCTTATATTTAAAATTTTAATTCTTATTTAAAAAAAATAATAATAATAACTTTAACATTTTACGAAATTAAGATTTAATTTTAAGTCCTCCATATTAAAAAATTACAATTGTTTTTAAATTAAATTATTAAATATAATATTAAATTTATAACCTTTTAGTACATTATATAATAACTGTATAAAGGAAAATAATTAAAAAAATTATTAAATAATGTATTTTTTAAGATAAAAAATAACTTTTATAATGAAAATATATAAAATTTATAAGCTTATATACATATAAACACTTTTCGTTTCCTACTACGTTAAATAAATTATATTTACAAGAGAATATATTAAATTATTAATAATGACTTTTATGGTTATAAATAAGTGAATATAAGTCTAAATTTTTATATACATATTTCGACTTATAAAATAATATATTTTTTAAAAAGTTAAAATAATTTTACAAGCATACTTTTCTGTATTTCTGACGCATTATTTACAGCAGGAGTAAAAATGGGTTCTTCATCCTTTTTCTGTTCATAGGATATAATATCATCCATTAAATTAGCTGGTTTATTTTGTTGGTTTCCGAACATAATTTCTTCTTGAGATCTTTTATCTGAAATAATAATAATAATAATAAAATTCACAATATAAAAGAGAGAGAAAAAAAAATTATTCTAAAGAAGAAAAGAAGCTGAAAAATCTGCTTACCTTTCACATCTGGAGATTCCGATACACTATTATCATTATCATCTTTTGTTGTATCAGAAGAGGGTGCCGCTATTATTGTGATTATTAAAGTTAAAAAGAAAACCAGGAGATAAGGATACCATCTGATCGCCATATTTTACTGAAAATATAAATAAATATGGTATAAAATATAAGATCATTTTAATTTATATTTATTAAAGAAAAAAAGACAAGATATTTTATGTGATCGAAAGGTGAAATTCCTAATCATATCACGCCTGAATGGAATTTAAAGTTGAGTGAACACATTCCACTTCTCGAGTTGGAAGAAATAAAATGGTAAAGAAACTGTTCACCAGAAAATTCTATCACCCGTTATGATGTACCTATTATTGAACTGCAATTTTATCAAATGTGATTTTTAGCTTTTATACCTTCTTTTCCAAATATTCTATTTTTACTTGCTTTTATTATAAAATATATCAAGAAAAAAAAAACAATGCAAGAGTGATGTAAACAAGTCAATAAATATTAAAATTAAATTGTTATAAGTAAATTTAACTTAGTTTAAATAATGTAAAATCTAAATATATAAAAAATGTATTCAGTATTTTTTTAAAATAAAATAAATCAATTTTTAAAGAGAAATAATGAAATATTGTATAAATACTGATAAAATATTCGAAAATATAATATTATTATACAAATAACATTAATTTTTATTATTATTAAATAATAATTAAAAAATATCCAACATCGAGTTGCATAACTTTCCCGGTAAAAACTTAAAATTGTGTGTGCCACCATCTGTTATACGATTTTATTTAAAATATTTTTTATATTATTAATTATTATAAAATAGCCAAAAGCTTAATTTTGAAGCTAGAGAAGAGTTTTATATATATAAAAAAAATTATAAATGCTAATAAAGTGTAAAATCTTCATCAAGTTCGACCTCACTCGAGATATGGCAAGTGACTCGCACCTGTATCTTCCTACTCCCTCGACCTTTAATCACCAAAATTTAATAGCATCAATGCTCCTAATACATAAACTTCCGTGCAAAATATCAGAAATTTTCGACAAAATGCACAGGAGTTATTAAGCTTTAAAGTGTCAATGTCTACTGAGTATGGTGAAAAATCTTGGGAGGATTTAAATTTTTTGATCCATCTCTCCATACTTTCCCTGTGTTATATATAACAGCCGTAATGATAAAAAAATAAATTATTCAAGTATTTTTTCCTTCCAAGAATTAAAAATATATTAAAGTAGAATTTATATTAAAATCAGATTTTCGGTATTAAAAATTTCGAAGATAAAGTTTACTTATTTAAAAAAAATTAATTTACTTCTTTGCATATTATTAAAAGAATGTTGTTCGTAGATAAGAATTTTTGATTGATCTTTAAATCAATAAATTAGAATTAAGTCAGCTGATCGAGCAAAGATGAAATCAGAAGATTATCTCAATATTTATGTATATATATTTTAAAATTATGATCATTTGACATTTAAAACTAATTATTAAGGTAAAAGTTTGTTGGAATAACGGCATTAGAATAAATAAAATGACCTTTATTAATAATAAAAATCACTTCATTAAGACCTACTGTCTTTCTATACGTTCTTTTGTTAATCTCGAGAACGAAGTGCTCGTTTTTATTATAAAAATAATAAAATAAATTTAAGAAATAATAGAAAAAGTTCTAACGTATATTATAGGATAGCCCAAAAATCAGTTAACATATAAATATAATTTTTTACAGATTATTTTACGAACGGTTATAGCGTGTTTGTAATAGCTTATTATACTCGTAATCCTGAAAAAAATACATCTCAGTTAACTGAATTTTGGGCCAGTTTGAGTGACAATACCGGGCAGCAATATTAAATCATATTTTTAATTTTTTTAAATTTAAAATATATGCTCTCCACCTCAAATTATGTGTAGGGGCAAGCCACTACTACGAGTAGTGGCATGCCCCTGTAAATCATACTTTTCCTATAACAGTAGAGTCGTGCTGGTCATTTATTAATTGTTTTCGTTATCTTTACAGTTGTTAACTGATTTTTGGGCCATCCTTTGTGTAATATTTTAATAACAATTTACTCGTTTCTCCACTTAACAAATAACTTATGGTCATTAAAATTCTTTATTGTAATTTAAGGAAAAAATAATAAAAAATTGTATATCTTTATCGTGAGAAATTTATAACTATTTTATCAAGAAAACTTTTCAATAATTATCAGGAAATTAAGTTTCCTTCTTCTTCATCTTTTCGCCATTTTAAAGTGAAATATGTCTCGAATTTATTTAATTTTTCAATTTTAATAATTAGAAAATCGATTGACGTCTTGAGATAATTAATTTTGATATATATTTTTCCCCTTTAGCGCTTCTTTCATTTATTTCTAATGTCAATTAAATTAAATATATATTAAAAATGAATATTTTAAGACGTCAAGAAAAAAAATCCCCTCCATTATAAAATTGATTTTTAAATACTTTTTAAAATAATTAAATCATATATTCCATTTAACTGACTTTTGAGCCACCCTCTATACATATAAAATTCGTATTTTTATCTATTCTTTTAGAAATAATAAAAAAAAAATTTATAATACAAAAATGCATGTAATAAACTTATTTTACATAATTAATGATATTTTTATAATCGTATTTGTCGTCTAGGAATAGAATAAATCCCGTTTAAGATCATAAATTTTTTTCTATTTTATTGTTTAAAACTAACAAAAATTTGAAAAAAAATTAATAAATTTAATAGAACCATTTTTATATTCGTTTAACACGAATTTTTAAAAATGGGAAGCGATAAATATGAGAGAAATGACGTGAGATAACATAGAAAATAAGAAGAAAAAGTCCCATTTTCTGTTTTATGAGCTAAAAAAATAATCAATTTATTATAAAATAATGATAAGAAGTTTATTATATTGAAAACTGGATAATATAAAATCCATGTTTTATCTACTATAATAATTCGTTTCACGATGTTTTTATAAAATAATCTTACCAAAAATATTAATAATATTGCATATGAAGTCGGTTTGTAAAGTAAGACAATGGTTAGAAGAACGTTGAATCAGCTTACAGCTCAATAACGTATTGAATTGTAAGCTGATTCAACGTTCTTCAACACCTGCAATGGTCAGAATGCAATGGTCAATGACTTTGCTAAGTCCTTAAGAACATCACAGGTTTCACCTTGATAGAACAGATGGATAATTTCAAATGAATAATATAAAATAAATTCAACTAATGATAATTTCATTCCTAACTTAATTAAGAATATTTTTTTCTAAAGCTTTTCAAAGTTGTTCTTCAACTGTTTTGAAGAAGTTTGTTCTAAAAAAATTAATTGAAATCTGTTTTTTTTTCGGTCTTACCGTTGTAGAAAAGAAATTCATTCTGCATTAAATTTATTTTATCTCAAAAGAATAATATTTCGTTCGTCAAACTACATATTGAAATTTAATTAAAGATTAAAAATTATTTTTAAGATATTCTTTAAAAATTATACAAAATTATGAAAGTTATTTTAAAGAAAAGAAGTGTTTTCTAGATGTAGATTAACAATTGAAATTTGTTTTTAGAATTTAGTCAATTAAATCTTCGAAATAAATTAAAATATAAATAAATACTTTTTGAAATATCTTACATTAAATATATTTATCGAAATATCTAATTTTGGGTATTTAAGTGCAAACGAAAATCACACCAAAACTATTGTTTTGAACAATGCCTTTTGTACATTTAGGGGCCGTGATTTGTTTGTATAATTGATATAATATATAAGAATGTATTTTATTCAGATTAATTCTATAAAATTCTAGCTTAAAAAATATTATTCCAGCCCAATAATACATTCCCACTCTCATCTGTCTGTTTATCTTTCCTACGTTAATCTCTAGATGATCGGCATGACTCTGTCGTTATCAGGAGAAGTATGATGTACAGGGGCGAGACATTACTAAAATCTAGACCATATATGGAAAGCTTAGAGACTGGAGACTCCAATTAACTATATACTACGATATAAATATCCAAGTTATAAGGTTATAAACCCTTTCTTCTACATTATTATATTAGTTAAATACAGTAAAAACCTGTGTAATCGGAACCGCATCATATATTTTAGACAGGTTCTACTGTATTCTATTTTCTAAATTTTATTGTTTATTCTGTAAATTTTGAAAATTAATCTCTGTCTAATATCTTTTATTATCAAAGTCATTTCGTATCCTTTGATATTTAAGGTAAATTACTTTAATCTCTTTATGAGTTTAAGTTTTTGAATTCAAGAGTATAATTAAGTCCTGTATAAGATGTTATTTTCGACATAAAAGGCAACTGTAATCTGATAAATCGAGAATTATTCGGAAATAAAGAAAATTTAAATCAGAATAAATTTCTTCTATTCNTATAACTTTTTATAACATAATTAAGGTATCAATTGTGTTTTGATAATACTTTTTATACTTCATTAATAATTACTAAGAATTATAGTAATTTGTTCAAAATGATGTTACGAATGAATATTTTTCTATCAATTAATCAATAATTGATGAAATTATTCATGTTATAATTTCTTTTATAAAAATTATTTAATAAATAAATTATTATTTTTACATAAAAGGAATATAAAACTTAAAGAAAGCAATTACTTTTTTATCGATAAATTATTCAATTTATTTGAAAATTACTTCGTGTTTTCGATTAAATTTGCTTTCGTTATGCCCACAAAACTTTCAATTTTAGCATCGGAAGTGAATCAATTGACCAATGAAACTTTTTTATTTAGTTTCAATCGACGAAAAAGATGATGATTGTTATGAGATAGGAATTACTTTTAGATGAGAGAAGACACTAAGAGTTTAAAATCATCCTTTCAAGTGATTGAATATATAAGTTTTAAATTCAAAAATAACTACTACTAACCTTCGAATTTTATTGCAAATTTTCACTGAAGGAATTTCATTTATACATAAAAACATTGATTTATTTAAATAGAAAAAGATTTATTTATTTATTTTAATACTTATGCCTACTTAGGCCTTGTATTAAAGTCAGAACTTATTACAATTTACTACTATCTAATTCAGTTCTCGAGACTAATGAAGGACAGACATACAGACGACTTCAATTATTTAAAAATTGCAA